AGATAGATAGATAGATAGATAGATAGATAGATAGATAGATAGATAGATAGATAGATAAAAACCCAGGCAAGCTGCAGTGGTGAGATCACCCATCAGGCTGGAGCAGCACTAAGGATGCTTCCCCTCTCTGGGAGGTGTCCATGTCCACATCCTTGGGCTTTGAGGGGCTTTATTTGGGATTTCTGTGCTGGACGCTGTGGAAAGGTGATTCACAGTCATCTCCTTGTGCTGTTCTGTCCAGAGGAGCCAAGGCTGGCTGTGTGGGACCCTTTGCCATGTAACCCCCCCTGCTCTCCGATGTCTCAGCAGCCCCCGATGTCGGTGTGGCCCCGGACCTGCGGAACGGTGAGCACTGCCCAGGGCTGGGGGGGTTGGGGGATCAGCATCACCCCTGCCCTGGCACCCCATGGGGCTGGGACACCAGAAATCCAGCTCATTTCTAGCTCATGGCCATCCCTGCTTGGTGGCATTACCCCCTCTTTGTCCCCACTGTCCTTTGCAGCAGGAGCTCTCGGCACCACCGAGCCAGAGATTCATCCCATGCAGGAAAACTCCAGCCTGGTGCCCCCAAAACAAGCAAGAAATAACTCAAGTGGGGCTGTGATGTGAAGCTCAGGGGTGTTGAGCTCTGGTACTTGCCCTGAGGTTGGTGGCATGTGGCAATTAAGGGCAAGGACTTTGCATGATGGTGAAAGCAAAGACATTAATTATTTCAGTAAGCTTTTTATACCTTTTACACAATAGGCTGCAATTGTTCATTCAGGCCGTGAGTCCTTATAACATTTTTACCTACTGGCAACATTAATTCCTTTCATCCTTTGTTCAAGTTCCTCTTTCTGCCCTAGGGAACTGCTTCTCCTTACTTTTCCCATGGCTTCCATCCCACCAGTGTGTGTCCATTTCTTGCTGTTTTCCCATATTAGAAATCCCTACATTGGCAGGCAGCAGTGGGGTCCCCAGCCTTGGCCACAGGGAGGAGCCCAGACTCAGATACAGCAGGGTCTCCAGCCTTGGCCTCAGCTGGGACCCCAGCCTTTGGCACAGCATGGCCCCAGCCTTCGCCTCAGTGGAGTTCCCAGCCTTGGCCGTGCCAGGGTGCTGTGCAGCATCAGTTTGAGGAGCAGTGATTTGGGATTTGGGATTTGGGTGGGTTTCACGGGATTTGGGAGTCCACTGGCTCCACCCTGGGGCTCTGGAGGCTTTGCCGTGGCTCTGCTGTCAAGGTGCTGGACAGGGAGTTAAACCATCCAGCCCTGCCATCCCCCTCCCCTCCCACCACGGAGAATTCTGACTTTTTGGGAACCTCCTGAGGCTGCACGTGGGAAAGGAGCTTCTCTCCTGGTCCCCCAGCCCAGCTGATCCCCCAGAGCTGTGGATCTGGGCACTGACGCCAGCGTGTCTCGCTCCAAATGTCACCACTCCCTGCTGTCTGCAGCCTGGGGGAGGTGTGGGGGAGGCACAGCTGGGCCCCCCGGGGCTCCACTGGCCCCCCTCGAAATCTGAGCAGCGAGTCCAGGAGGGATCTGTGCTCTGCAGGGCTTAGGGAACGCTGGGATGACTCCCCCATCCCCCTCCCGTCTACGGGGTTATTCCAGGGGGGTTTGCACAGGCAGGATGGGGATGGATTGGGATGTCAGGCATTATCTCACCCTGTAATGGCATTTTGCTTTCGCTGCTTCCAGGATCGTAATTGGGATGGCAATAAAATCTCCAATGCAGCAGCTGGAGACAGGGCTTAAAAAACACAGCCAGCCCAGCACTGGTGCCGAGCAGAGCTGGGAGGTGGAGAGAGGGCTGTCACTCCAAGCTCCTCTTGCCTGGGATTCCCACTCCAAGCAGAGTTTAGGGCTCCTCCTGTGCCCCCCTCGCCCCCCTGCCCCCGCAGAGCTTTGCCTGCAGAGCTCTGAGCCGCTTTTCCCGTGCAGAGCTGAGCAGTCCTGCCAGGACCGCGTTGTTTTCCACCCACAGCTGCCTCTCCCTGCTGTCCTCAGAGCAGGCAGCTGCCTGTCAGTCTGGACTGTCAGTCTCTCCATCTGCCCACAAGTCCAGTCGAATTAAAGCCTCTGGAATGATGGATCACTCTTGCAAGGTGTGGAGGCAGCAGCCCCGGGGACTCCAGGCTCTTGCTCTGGAGGAAAGCTGGGCTCTCTGCCATGCCAGGCACCCCTGCACCCCGTGCCATGGGTGGTGGCACCCCATGGGGCTGAGCCCTCAGGAACAGGGTCCTTCCTGAGGCCCAAACCTGGAAATGGCTGTTGTTTTGTCCATGAGCCTCAGAGAGTCTCAGAGCAGTGCCTGGCACACAGAGGTGCCGCCGTGGTTCAGGTGAGGGATTAGGAGGAGATTTTGCCACCAAAGGTCCAGCCCTGGCAGCAAGTGACAGCGATCATGGCATGATTTATGTGCCGGCCCCACAAGGGGCTCAGAAGCTGAGCTTAACAAACGACCCGAGCTAACGAGGGCTGGCACAGCCGGCCGGACACACAAACGAGGGCGTTCGCTGGGGCAAAGCCCGTGGGAGGCAGCTGGCACTCACAGCGCCACGGAGTCATCATCCAGCAGCATGGGAGGGCTCTGCTGGGCGCTGCTGGGCAGACTGGGATGGGGCTGGGCCGGGGCTGGGCTGGGGGTGGCCGCACGTGCGTCTTCCGAGCACTCCGCACGCCCCCGAGCAGCGTCATCCATCAGCCTCCTGAAAGGTGGCTAATTACAGCGTATGCTTTGCTGTTCCCACCATTAATCATCCTGCTCCAGCACTTCATTTATTATGGAGCTGCCTGGCTGGGAGCAGAAAAGGCACAGGGCCCCTCCATGAGACGAGGTGGCACTTCTCCCCGCTGCTCCAGAGCCCCTCTGGGTGATGTGCATTTAGGGACACTGTGGGGTGTCCCCTGCACAGCCTGTGCTCTGCCTGGGGATGTCCTGGTTGACCAGGCTCTGACATGTTCCCTCCATCCCTTTCCACATCACTCCATCCACGTTGGATTCAGTGCTCTCCTGCACCGAGGTTTTGCTCCCAGGGTGCTGCTCCCAGGCTGTGTTTTGGTGAGTGATGAGCTGGGAAAGCAGGAAGCAGGAGGGGGAGGCAGCTGCAGGGCAAGGAGCAAATTCCCCTCTCTCATTTAATGGTCTTTATTTGTGTCTCTGTGGGGGCAGGAGCCCTTGGCAGGAGCGTGGCCCTGTTTTCCAAGATGTTCTGCTTGTAGCTGGAATGTGTCTGTGCCCGACTGTCCCATCTGTGCTGCCAGGGCTGGGGGGGGCTCATGTGCTGTAAATGTCTTAGCAGCTTTGTGGTGTGGGCTCTAAAACTGAGATGGCAGGAGGACAGTTCCCAGGGGCTCAGGTTCCCCATCTCTACTCATGGGCTGGGAAGAAACCTGAATATGGGCAAATCTTGGGCTCCAGCTAAGTTTGGATGGGCATCTTTTGGCTTGGATGGGGACCTGTTGGCTCAAGTGGAGACCTGTTGGCTCAGATGGGGACCTGTTGGCTCAGGTGGGGCCCTTACAAAGCCCAGAGCCCCTGGGCTGTATCCTGCCCTTGGGTGAGAGAGGAGGAAGGTGGTTTTACAGTGGGGGCCTCCTGGACCTGGGATATCAGCTCATTGTTGGATGGGTGCTCAGGGACAAGGACACCCTGGGGGCTGTGGCCAGGAACTGGTGCTGGTGGCAGACTGGGGTGGTCCTGGGGGTCTGGGCTGTCAGCCCACATTTGCCTTCCAGACCCTCCTCATCCTGCCCATGATATTAATGGGCTTTTGCAAATTAGAAGTTCTCACTGTGCAGAAGGGACTTGGCTGGGAATCCTCACAAAAATAATCCCTGGTGTCCATGTTCCTCTCCAGCATTTCTGATGTGGAGCAGCTCAGTGGCAGCAAAGTGTTTGGGCTGCAGGTGAAGAGGGGGAGTCGAGCTCAGCCTTTGCTCCTGTGTGGTCCAGCAGGTGCTGAAGCTGTTGAGATCCAGGTCAGGTTCAGTCTCAGCCACCATTTCCCAGTAGCAGATCCAGGTCTGACTGGTGGTTCAATCCAACTTCTTGGGTGGAAATAAGTCCAGCACCCATTTGTCCTGCTCCCCCTTCCCTCCTTTTAGAGGAGTTATTCACCTTGGTAGAGAAATAAAGATGCTCCTGGAATATTAAACAGCTCCCCAAAGCCCCTGGTGCTGATGAGTGGCTTCTGCACCTCGTGCCTGGTACATGCAGTGACCTTTCAGAAATGTTGTACGTTGTGGTCGTATCTAAATGTCTTCTCTCCTGGGAGCATCTTGTGGAGATAGAGATTCAGACATGATGTCTATCAAGAAGAAAAGCAGATTGTGGCCAATCTGTGGCTGCCTGCACAGTATTGCCTGGGCCACGTGCTCAGGAATCATAAGGTTGTCTCTAAAAATAAGCAGTGGCTTCTTTGGAGTCGTCTCCCTGGTGTCTCAGCTCATTAGGGAATCCTCGGCCCTGGGTGTTTGCGGCGTTTTGCGAGGGCGGGAGTTTCCACGGGGGAGGGAAGTGGAGAGTGGAGTGTCCTGTGGACTCGGGGTGGGAGGATGGCTCCCTGAAGGCACCAGCCATGGAGTTTGCAGGCTGGGAAGGTAAATCCTGCCGAGCTGGGAGCTGGTGCAGCCACTGTTCTGACCCCAAGACCTGGGGCTGCTGAGCAGGAGGAGCTGCAGGAGATGCAGCAGCTGCCAGTCACCAGAATAACTCCCTTCTGGAGAAGCTTTTCATGTTCTCAAGCCCTTAAGGCACGCCTGGGGACGCTCTGCAGTGACCCAGCAGAGCCTGTCTCCTGCACACACGGCTCCTTTCACGCTTTCTCTCCCCATTTCTGCACATTGTCAGGAAAATCTGTTGCTGTTTGAACAGCCTCGAGAGGGACATGAGGGTGACTGTGGTCCCAGCCCCACTGCTGAGCTCTGACATGGCTGTTGGGGACAGTCACTTGGCCACCTGATGCCCTGAGGACCCTCAGGCCACTTGCAGGTCCTGCAGGGTGAGGGGACCCACCACAGGGATCCTGCTGGATGGGGGACCACAGGGGCCCTGCTGGGTGCCCCTCAACTCCTGAAGTTGCCCCAGTGCCCACCCAGCCCCTCAGCTGTCTCTCTGTTCCCCCAGCTCTGCCCTCCTGCCTGCCCAGCCCGGCTCTGCTGGCAAAGGGACTGACCCAGAAAAAACAGCGCCGAGAGCGGCAGAGCCCAGAGAATTTGTTTCCCAGCCAGCCTCTGATGGGATTAGGAATAATTCTCTACTGGATAATTCTCCATTAGGGCTGGTGATTGATTTTCTTCCCTCTTACTCCCAGCTCTCTCCTCCTCTCCCTGTTTCAGCTGCATTATTCCCATGCTTGG